GGGACCAGCCCTATTCTTGGTATAGGTGAATGACATGACGGAAGGGATAAACTCAAGTGTCACTGTTTGCAGATGATGTGAAGTTAATGAGAAGAATTAAATCAGATCGGATCAGACAGGTCTACAAAGAGACCTGGACAGGCTGGAGGCGTGGTCCAGCAACTGACTCCTAGAATTTAACCCCGCCAAATGCAAAGTCATGAAGATCGAGGAAGGACAAAGAAGACCGCAGGCAGAGTATAGTCTAGGTGGCCAAAGACTGCAAACCTCACTCAAGGAGAAAGACCTAAGGGTGAGTATAATACCGAGCACGTCTCCGGAATTGCACATTAACCAGATAACTGCTGCGGCATATGGGCGCCTGATAATCTTAAGAATAGTTTTCCGATACCTCAGTAAGGAATCAATCAAGATTCTGTACACTGTGCTCGTCAGGCTGATACTGGAGTACGCAGCACCAGTTTGGAACCCACACCTGGTCAAGCACGTCAAGAAATTAGAGAAATTGCAAACGTTAGCATCAGGGTTACTTCCAGATCTAAGGGGAATGTCCTACCAAGAAAGATTAAGCGAAATCGGCCTGACGTCACTCGAGGACAGGAGGGTCAGGCTAGACATGAGAACGACATACAAGATATTGCGTGGAATTGATACGGTGGACAGAGACAGGATGTTCCAGAGATGGGACACAGAAACCAGTGGTCACAATTGGAAGTTGAAGACTCAGATGAGTCAAAGGGATGTTAGGAAGTATTTCTTCAGCCACAGAGTTGTTACGAAGTGGATTAGCCTGGCAAGTTATGAAGTGGAGGCAGGAACCATACATAGTTTTAAGACGAGGTATGATTAAGCACATGGAGCAGAGAGAGGGAGGAGCCAGTAGCAGTCAGTGAAGAGGCGGGGCAAGGAGCTGAGTTTCAACCCCAGCAACCACAAATAGGTGGGTACACACACACACACAACCATGGCAGCGAGTAAGAATTTCTCCTCTTTAGTGGATACTATACAGACTCAAGTTAAATGTGAAACCAGTTTGAAATGTTGAAAGCTGTAGTTAACACGCCTGATGTACAATGGATGTGGAACAAATCTCCTCAATCTTTGCATAGAAAAAGAGGTTCACACACAGACAAACCGCACATTGGAGATTGAAACCAATCAAGACACTGGAAGTCAGGCACTGGAATGTCAGGCACTGGAAGCATGTCAGGCACTGGAAGCATGTCAGGCACTGGGAGCATGACAGGCACTGGAAACATGTTCGGCACTGGAAGCATGACAGGCACTGGAAGCATGTCAGGCACTGGAAGCAAGTCAGGCACTGGAAGCATGTCAAGCACTGGGAGCATGACAGGTACTGGGAGCATGTCAGGCACTGGAAGCGTGTCAGGCACTGGGAGGATGTCAGGCACTGGGAGCATGACAGGCACTGGAAGCATAACAGGCACTGGGAGCATGTCAGGAACTGGAAGCATGTCAAGCACTGGGAGCATGCCAGGCACTGGAAGCATGTCAGGCACAGGAAGCATGTCAGGCACTGGAAGCATGTCAGGTAATGGAAGCATGTCAGGCACTAGGAGCATGACAGGTACTGGGAGCATCACAGGCACAGGAAGCATGTCAGGCACTGGGAGCATGACAGGCACTGGGAGCATGTCAGGTACTCCAAGCATGTCAGGCACTGGAAGCATGTCAGGCACTGGAAGCATGTTAGGCACTGAAAGCATGTCAGGCACTGGAAGCATGTCAGGTACTGGAATCATGTCAGGCACTGGGAGCATGACAGGCAATGGAAACATGTCAGGCACTGGGAGCATGACAGGCACTGGAAGCATGTCAGGCACTGGAAGCATGTGAGGCACTGGAAGCATGTCAGGTACTGGAAGCATGTCAGGCACTGGAAGCATGTCAGGCACTGGAAGCATGTCAAGCACTGGGAGCATGACAGGTACTGGGAGCATGTCAGGCACCGGAAGCATGTCAGGCACTGGGAGGATGTCAGGCATTGGGAGCATGACAGGCACTGGAAGCATGTCAGGCACTGGGTGCATGCCAGGCACTGGGAGCATGTCAGGCACTGAGAGCATGTCAGGCACTGGAAGCATGTCAGGCACTGGAAGCATGTCAGGTACTGGAAGCATGTCAGGCACTGGAAGCATGACAGGCACTGGAAGTATGTCAGGCAATGGAAGCATGTCAGGCATTGGGAGCATGACAGGTACTGGGAGCATGACAGGCACAGGAAGCATGTCAGGCACTGGGAGCATGTCAGGTACTCCAAGCATGTCAGGCACTGGAAGCATGTCAGGCACTGGAAGCATGTTAGGCACTGGAAGCATGTCAGGTACTGGAATCATGTCAGACACTGGAAGCATGTGAGGCACTGGAAGCATTTGAGGCACTGGAAGCATGTCAGGCACTGGAAGCATGTCAGGTACTGGAAGCATGTCAGGCACTGGAAGCATGTCAGGCACTGGAAGCATGTCAGGCAATCCAAGCATGTCAGGCAATCCAAGCATGTCAGGCACTGGAAGCATGTCAGGCACTGGAAGCATGTCAGGCACTAGAAGCATGTCAGGCACTGGAAGCATGTCCGGCACTGGGAGCATGACAGGTACTGGGAGCATGACAGGCACAGGAAGCATGTCAGGCACTGGGAGCATGACAGGCACTGGGAGCATGTCAGGTACTCCAAGCATGTCAGGCACTGGAAGCATGTCAGGCACTAGAAGCATGTTAGGCACTGAAAGCATATCAGGCACTGGAAGCATGTCAGACACTGGAAGCATGTCAGGCACTGGAAGCATGTTAGGCACTGGAAGCATGTCAGGCACTGGGAGCATGACAGGTACTGGGAGCATGACAGGCACAGGAAGCATGTCAGGCACTGGGAGCATGACAGGCACTGGGAGCATGTCAGGTACTCCAAGCATGTCAGGCACTGGAAGCATGTCAGGCACTGGAAGCATGTTAGGCACTGAAAGCATGTCAGGCACTGGAAGCATGTCAGGTACTGGAATCATGTCAGGCACTGGGAGCACGACAGGCACTGGAAACATGTCAGGCACTGGGAGCATGACAGGCACTGGAAGCATGTGAGGCACTGGAAGCATGTGAGGCACTGGAAGCATGTCAGGTACTGGAAGCATGTCAGGCACTGGAAGCATGTCAGGCACTGGAAGCATGTCAAGCACTGGGAGCATGACAGGTACTGGGAGCATGTCAGGCACTGGAAGCATGTCAGGTACTGGAATCATGTCAGGCACTGGGAGCATGACATGCACTGGAAGCATGTCAGGCACTGGGAGCATGTCAGGAACTGGAAGCATGTCAGGCACTGGAAGCATGCCAGGCACTGGGAGCATGTCAGGCACTGAGAGCATGTCAGGCACTGGAAGCATGTCAGGCACTGGAAGCATATCAGGTACTGGAAGCATGTCAGGCAATGGAAGCATGTCAGGCATTGGGAGCATGACAGGTACTGGGAGCATGACAGGTACTGGGAGCATGACAGGCACAGAAAGCATGTCAGGCACTGGGAGCATGACAGGCACTGGGAGCATGTCAGGTACTCCAAGCATGTCAGGCACTGGAAGCATGTCAGGCACTGAAAGCATGTCAGGCAATGGAAGCATGTCAGGTACTGGAATCATGTTAGACACTGGAAGCATGTGAGGCACTGGAAGCATGTGAGGCACTGGAAGCATGTGAGGCACTGGAAGCATGTCAGGCACTGGAAGCATGTCAGGCACTGGAAGCATGTCAGGCACTGGAAGCATGTCAGGCACTGGAAGCATGCCAGGCACTGAAGCATGTCAGCACGGGGAAGCATGTCAGGCACTGGAAGCATGCCAGGCACTGGAAGCATGTCAGGCACTGGAAGCATGTCAGGCACTGGAAGCATGTCAGGCACTGGAAGCATGTCAGGCACTGGAAGCATGTCAGGCACTGGAAGCATGTCAGGCACTGGAAGCATGCCAGGCACTGGAAGCATGTCAGGCACTGGAAGCATGTCAGGCACTGGAAGCATGTCAGGCACTGGAAGCATGTCAGGCACTGGAAGCATATCAGGTACTGGAAGCATGTCAGGCACTGGAAGCATGTCAGGCACTGGAAGCATGTCAGGCACTGGAAGCATGTCAGGCACTGGAAGCATGTCAGGCACTGGAAGCATGTCAAGCACTGTTGCCACTGGAAGTTCTGAAAAGTTTAAGGCAAAACCATCTGATGATCATTTAAACTTAAAAATACATTCTATCACGAAGCAGACTATCTCATATAAAGTTTTAATTCCCTACCTCATCCTTTCTAACATATATCATACTACCTTATCCCGAGTGACATAAAAATACAAACCATCATTACTAACAGATTATCTGCCACCTCATCCTTACTGATATAAAATATTCAAACTCATCGTTACGAATCCGTAACACAGTAACTCGTTCTTATTAACATCTTATAATTAATCTTTACTGGTATAAAACTTACGAACTCAAGTTTACTAACATTTAACATAGTACCTCTTCCTTTAAAACGACATTCTATGTCATTCTTACTAAGAAGTAACAATGATCTTAATGACATATTACATTTTAATACATTCTTATAGAAATTAAACATTCTACCTCATTCATACTGTAACATAACGTAATTATCTTTACTTATCTTTGCTAAGAAAAACATTAACTGTTTTCTACGAGAGAATGAAATACCTTACAACTAAAGACACATAATCAATACTTAAGGTCGAGACTCCGTATAAAATTGCTTATAAGAAAGCAGTATAATACTACAGAAAAGTTCTCAAATGATCATATCAGTATGAATATGTTTGAAATTTTTTTTATATATACACACAGTCAAGTATCACATGAAAAAACGTCACTCACATTACTGAGATACAGTGTTGGTAAAGAAAGGTTGCTTGTATGTACTAAAAACTAATATTTCAATACTTTTACTAGCTGGAAAAATATACAGCATAAAGTGTAACTTACGAGAAGTTAAGAGCCTTGGCGAGGTAGCTCACCAGTTCTGGCACTGGTCCAGTGAAATCAAATTTCTGTCTCCCTGGAGATTTATGATCATTTGTTAATATCATCTTGCTAAATGGGTTCCCCTCCGACGCTACCAACAAATTAGGGCCGTTAGCGAATCTGTGGGTTTGTGTGTTCGTTTTTAAATTTATTAAAAATTTATATATACATGTTCTATTTAAAGATAGCGATTGTATTCATAATTTTAATAGACAACAGCGTTAAAAATTGCTATCAGATGTTGTTTAGTATTTGAAAGTTTATAGACAGAGGGATGGTACTATAATGGAAATTCCTTTGGGCCTATTTTGCCCAGTGCTTTTCTTCTTCATTATGGGGCCGACTGGTTGAATTAAAACCATCGGTACATCTACGTTAAGTTGAATACACCTTCCTAATATTTATATTACGTGACTATGTACCATTATTCTTGCAATATCTAAATTCAAAGCAGTCTAATGTTGAATTTTCATCTGAAGTAGAGGCCAGCGGAACATGGCCTTTTCTTGACCCTCTTTTGAGCCATATTAATAACAGTATTAGCTCTAAAATATATCGTAAATCAATATTTACTGGCTTAGCTACATTTTCATTCCTGTCCATATGCACTATAAACGAAATCCGATTTCCCCATTGACTTCAACAGCTGTTCTTATATTTCACAGTATGTTAGTCTCCACTCTGAATTTTAATTTATACGACTAAACCTTTCCATGAACAGTCTTAAGAAAATTTTCATAAATACTTAAATAGGTCAAGAGCAGCAAAAGTTCTAACATCTTCTGATAACAAAAACTACTGTTATGAGAGCATTTCTTTTTTCCCAATAACTTTCAATAACAAACGAGGCCTTCTTTAATAATCAAATAAAAGAGTCCAAATAATTTCATTCAAAGGCTAAAGCAAAAGTTGTATTTCAGCCTAAAGAGAAAAACAAAAGTTTTTCTTTTTAAATTTAGTAATTTATACAAGAGAAGGGGTTACTAGCCACTTACTACTGGTATTTTAGTCGCCTCTTACAACACGCAGGTTTTACGGAGGAAAATTTCTGTTCCACTTCCCCATGGAAATAAGAGGAAATAAAAAAGAACAAGAACCATTAAGATAAAAGAAGAAAACAAAGGTGGACCAGTATATATATATGTCGTAATGAATAGGTAAAACTGGCCAATTAGCAGGAACTCATGTAAAATTAAGTCCTTTCTAAAAAAAATTATTATGTGTTTAAATATTATTTTTATTTACGTTAATGTAAAAATTAATAATTTCGTACTAAAAAAATAGAAAACTTATCTAACCTTATTATAACAAGCGCAATTTAATTTAGCCTAATCCAACTAAATATAATTTAGATAAGGTAGAACATCTAAATTTCTTCCTGACGCCGTTTGAATATTCCATTCCCCTAACACCCCATCTTTTCATTCTTTTATACCAATAGGTATATTTTATTACATAATATGATACTAAATATTAATAGATACATTGCTGATATAAAGATGGCATATACAGTGCATGAGGTATGAGAGATACATGTCTAGTACATATTATTACATGTTTGTCACTGATTATAATGCGAAAATCTCATCCACTTTTTCAGAACTGGGGTGCGTGCCCATAATACAGTAGGCATTACCCCTCTGAACAGCAGTGCCGAGTCGCTGGAACAGAAAACTAGCTGCCCTGTGATCCCTAGTTACCCTGACGAGTCTTTTCCTAGCTCCTTAAGGACTTAGATGCACTCTTTCCCAATAAGCCAAGGGTCTTTGAGTCTATGGAAATAAACATACAATGATGGGCAAGTTCTCCATATTTTCTAGACTTTTGGGACTCCCTGAAGCTGGCGGTTGCCCCTCCTTCCTCAATGATGCATTGGAGAAAGGTATCAGTCAAAGTAGATCCACATTTGCAGTCCCACATCACCTGCTTGCCGTCTATCTAGGCTTAAAAGGTGTTACCATCTGGACACTTTTGGCTACCATCAAATCTGCATAGTTCGGGTGGTTCCCTTACTGATGAGTATTCGGCTGTTGTGAGGCTCCTCTTGATGATGTCATTAACATTCTCATGTCTTGTAATCTTTTCTTCAGATTTACGGCACACAAGACCATGGTATCCAAATCGGTTTGCTGCTTCACTGCCACATATACACCTGTATACAGTGAGAATAGGGGGACCAAGTCGAAGGGCAACTCCAATGCAGATTCTCTGTGGGTCGAGGCGTGTGCCAAGGCTGGAGCTGGGAACAGCCAACAGAAAATCTCTTGCATGAAGAGCTCTCACTGCCAGGAGGTGGGCTCTATTCTTCCCTGACACACTCTGAAGCATTGTTGAAGCTATATTGTTCATTATTGGGCCATTGCCAGTTCGACTGTTCGTAGTTGTGGGGGGAGCAGGTCTGATTTCAGAGCCCGTTAGATTATCCCAGATCATGGCTCCGTCAATGAACTTTTGGTCATGGACTCCAATACTCTCCTTAAGATGTTCAGGGAGAATCGCTGCTACAAATCTTCTGGATGTCATGCATGAGGACCGGAAAGCAGGTAGCGTAATCTGTGATGACTTGCGGACATCAGCGCCTCCTAGTCTGACTGGAAAGTGTAGCTTGGTCCCACTGTTTGTCTTCTAGAGTAAGGTTAAGTACTTTCATAAAAATCTGCCTCAGGATATTGTCATATTCGTGCAGTATAGGGTTTCCATATGAAGGTGTACATCTTAGGAAATATGTCAACCTGGGCAGACTTAAGCACTTTGTGAGAAGGTACAAGGCATTGTGGGTGTCAAATTGCCAATTCATTGTTCTATTTTCCTCAAATCTTCCAGTTTCTTCCTGAGAATTGTGTCAGTGGCATCACTTCCCAGAGGTGCTCCAAGCAAGATGCCATTTGTGGTGGCCAATGACTGATGCTGACTGCATCTGTCACTTTTTGACTAACTGAGATATCACATTTGGATAGATTCAGGATGAGATCCATTTCCTGTTCCCGTGTCATCACCTGTGTAAGATCATCTAGAAGGGACTCCTATGTTCCTGCTAGTGTGCCATCATCCAGGAACCAGATGTTTAGCTCAGTGGTCAGTCTGACTGTGATTTCCCTAACCGTTATACAGAGGAGAAATGGTGCGAGAGGATCCCCTTGCTGGACACCCTCTGATGTGATTTCATGCTCTCCAAACAGGAGCATTAATTCCTTGCTATATCCAGCTGAAACAAAAGGGAAGAGACGAGGGAAATGTTCTTCTGCAGCTGCTAATACCACGTCTCTTTCCAGGAGATTAAATGCATTCTTGAAATCTAATTTTACCACTGCATTGTCCTCAGGCAGGTTGTTGATATATGCCCTTGTTGCATGAACTGCTGCTTCACCTCCTTGAGAGACCCCAAAGCCAAGCTGGTTTAGTTGAAGAATCATGGCTGCCTCTGCACGAATACTTTGGACAGCAGATTTGGATATGAGGCGGCGAAAAGTGTTGCCCACTGCAATTGGCCTAATTCCTCCATTCTTCTTTTTAAGAGCACAAAGTAATTTCGTCAGGAATTAGGCCAGCTAAGGAATTGTTGATGAACCTTGTGATCTCTGAAATCAGTGTCTCTGCAATCTCCCTGATAACTCGATTAACCATTTCCTTTAAATGTTTTTGCCTTATTCCAGTGTAACCCCCAGCAGAGCCGGAGGGGAACGACATTGTTGCTTTGTAAATGTCTGAGCCTTCCACAATCAATGGTTCCACAGTGGGGACAGAGGTGTTGGAATTGTTGGTGCCCCCCAGTTTCCCTGGGAGGGTGCTTTCCTCTGTGTGCTCCAGCAGTGTCAGCATCCCTGTATCTTCAATGGTAATAATTCTTATTGCCCCCTCTGTGTTGCCCTCTTCAGTTTTCTTGCTCACCTGGACTCTGATTTTTTCGTGTGTGGGGGTTCTGCCTCTCCTTTTTTTATATTGATGGGGAAGGCAAATGAGGTTATCAGCTCTAGGACTTCTCTTAAGGATTTAATGATCACTGAAGCTAGCCTCTTTTCCCTTCTTTCTGCCATAAGCTAAGTAGACATTGCCAAAAAGTAGCAAGCTGTGCCATGCCTTGGTGGTTGGTGGAGCATTTAGGATAGTGGAACCATTGTTTACTTTTTTAAGAGGTCTGTAAGTTTCCCAGCTGCGTGTGGACGGGCTGCTTTGGGAATATGTGTTAGTATCCTGTTAACTGTCGCTTTAATTGCTTCCAAGATATTATCCGATGAGATGAGATCTGTTGGAGTGGGTTCAGGTGCCCGAAGTGGCTGTGGATCATCACTTTCCACAGGAGGACATCCTAAACCAGAGCAGCTACCGTGTTTTTGGAAAAAAACCATTAGAGTTGAGACATCGAAGCTGCAAGCACGATCAACACTTGCCTCTCCTAGTATTGCCAGCCGTCCAATTTTCCTGGCTGCTCGCTCCCTCCTGATTGGCATCCATTTGGCTACCTAGACTGTAGGAGTGGAGTACGACATGCTGGGTGAGTATGATGCCTGGAAGGTAGAGAACTTGACCGTAGTGGCCTGGTGGGGGTTTGAGGGGCTGTTGAGGGACTGGGAGGGGAAAACTGCCTTCCTCAGTTGGGGTGCCGCTTGGATTTGGGTGGGGGAGGCGCAGGCCTTTGGGTGGGGAAGGTGCAGGCTGTTGGGCGGGGTTAGCCAGGAGTGAGGGGAGTACACAGAATATATTATTCACACTGTCTTACAATACACACAACATTATTTGTTTCCCATGTATATCATGAAAGATGTGGGTATGTGCACTACTGAGCCCCAGTGTGTTCCCTGACCACCCACACACTGCGCGTCTTCCCCCTCCCCCGTGGCGTAAGGTAGACTGTATTGACTGACCACCCCCTCGTTAACATTAACATCACATTGATTTTCCATAACATACGCCTCTAATTATTCCATGCATCGCGCAAGGTGCTGGAGGTAGATGTTGTTATGAGAGCTTTTCCAGGTTTGTATATACGATAATCTTGACCGGCGCTCACACACAGAGTAGGACCTATTCTCCTCCACCCCCTCTAGCCAACTTCCCTACTACCACCACTCATCAACCTTCACAAACTGCACAACACTTCAGCTATTTACATTGAAACGATGCTCATACATTTGGCTAACATAAAGTCTAATTGTTCGTATGACAAAGAATACATTCTGTATTTTTGTGAAGAATATCTTTACATTTTTTAAACATAGACTGATGATTGGAATAATAGTGAATGTATGTCGACACATTGGTTGATTTCCTTTAAATTTTAAATTTGAATTTTCCGTCAATACGATGGGTTAAAATATCTAGGAAAGGAAGAATTTAATAAAAGTTACCACGGTACCTCGTGAGGATTTGGTTACATTACCATAATAATAATTATTATAATAATACGAATGGTGATGATTATGATAATGAAGCTAATAATTATAGAAACAATAATAAGTCATAATAATAATAATAATACCAGTTGTAATAATAATAATAATATTAATAATAACAATAATAATAATAATAATAATAATGATAATAATAATAATAATAATAATAATAATAATAATCATAATAATATAAAAAACAATAGGAAGACACGAATATGGATGCAGCTCACTTTGAGAATTTTTCTGGGAATAGCGAATGGTGAGAAGTGAGGAGGAGACCATGAAGTGGAGTCCAGGAGGCAACCCTCAGAGGCTGGGTTTGTTGGGAGCTGAATGGCACGTGAATGTACATGTTGCATCTGTCGACAAGACGTTCATTAATGAGTAACAAAATGCTCTCTCTCTTTCACACACACACACACACACACACACACACACACACACACACACACACAGCACACACACACACACACACACACACACACACACACGCACGCACTGACCAGGAAGAACTACAAAGGGATCTGGACAGGCTGCAGACCTAGTCCAGCAATTGGCTCCTGGAGTTCAACCCCACCAAGTGCAAAATCATGAAGATTGGGGAAGGGCATAGAAGGCCGCAGACGGAGTACAGTCTAGGGGCCAGAGACTACAAACCTCACTCAAGGAAAAAGATCTTGGGGTGAGTATAACACCAGGCATATCTCCTGAAACGCACATCAACCAAATAACTGCTGCAGCATATGGGAGCCTAGCAAACCTCAGAACAGCATTCCGACATCTTAATAAGGAATCGTTCAGGACCCTGTACACCGTGTACGTTAGGCCCATATTGGAGTATGCGACACCAGTTTGGAACCCGCACGTAAAGAAACTAGAGAAAGTGCAAAGGTTTGCAACAAGACTAGTTCCAAAGCAAAGGGGTATGTTCTACGAGAAGATGTTAAGGGAAATCAACCTGACGAAACTGGAGGACAGGAGAGATAGGGAGGACAAGATAACGACATACAAAATACTGAGAGGAATTGACAAGGTGGACAAAGACAGGATGTTCCAGAGGTGGGACACAGCAACAAGGGGACACAGTTGGAAGTTGAAGACACAGATGAATGACATGGATGTTAGGAAGCATTTCTTCAGGCACAGAGTAGTCAGGAAGTGCAATAGTTTGGGAAGCGATGCAGTGGAGGCAGAATCCATACATAGCTTTAAGCAGAGGTATGATAAAGCTCACGGTTCAGGGAGAGTGACCTAGTAGTGACCAGTGAAGAGGCGGGGCCAGGAGCTTGGACTCGACCCCTGCAACCTCAACTAGGTGAGTACAACTAGGTGAGTGCACAAACACACACACACACAAACACACACACACACACACACACACACACACACACACACACACACACACACACACACACACACACACACACACACACACACACACACACACACACAAATGTGTGCATAACAATGTGTGTGTATGAGTTTGCACTGAATACATGTGCAGATGTATCAAATGCATATTTGTGTATGTAGGTTGGTAGACAACAACCACCCAGGGAGGTACTACCGTCCTTCCAAGTGAGTGTAAAACGGAAGCCTGTAATTGTTTTACATGATGGTAGGATTGCTGGTGCCCTTTTTTCTGTCTCATAAACATGCAAGATTACAGGTACGTCTTGCTACTTCTACTTACACTTAGGTCACACTACACATACATGTACAAGCATATATATACACACCCATCTGGGTGGGACTATACATGTGCATCTACCTTGGCTGATACCTATCTCCAATACACCAGGGAGGAAGGAGGGGCAGCTGCCAGCTTCAGGGAGTCCCAAAAGTCTAGAAAATATGGAGAACTTGCCCATCATTATATGTTTGTTCCCATAGGCTCAGAGACCCTTGGCTCATGGGGAAAGAGTGCATCTAAATTCCTTAAGGAGCTGGGAAAAAGACTCATCAGGGTAACTAAGGATCCCAGGGCAGCTAGTTTTCTGTTCCAGCGGCTCAGTGTGGCTGTTCAAAGGGGTAATGCCTGCTGTATTTTGGGCACACGCCCTAGCTCTGAGGAGCTGGATGAGATTTTCGCCTTATAATCGGTGATACACACGTAACAACATGTACCGTATGTGCCACCTTTATATCAATAGTGTATCTCTTGGATCTTCTGTACCATATTATGTAATAAAATATTCCAATTAGTAAAAAAAAGAAAATGTAAAAAGATGGGGTGGTAGGGGAAGTGGAATATTCAAACGGCTTCAGGAAAAATCCAAATTTTTTCCTTAAAACCCTTTTTCCACTTCTCGGGGGTATGGGTCCCAAATTTACCCAGGGGTGGACCCCATTAAATAAAATTATATATATAATATATATTATATATATATATATATTAATAATAAAATTTTAAAAAAATTTATATTTTTAATAAAAAATATATGGATATAATATTATATAAAGGGTAGTAGGTTGGTAGACAGCAACCCCCCAGGGAAGTACTACCGCCCCTCCCGATGACTGTAAAACAAAAACCGTAACTTTTTGCATGATGGTAGGATTGGGGTTTTTTTTCGTCTCATAAACACGCTAAGATAACGGGATATCTTGCTACCCCTCTTAACTTTGGTCAACTTCACAACACGCCAGCATATATAATTAAAAACATCTAGGTTTTTCCCCTTTTTTTCTAAATAGTCTTTTTTTTTTTTATTTTTTCTTTTGTCCATGGGGAAGTGGAAAAGAATTTTTCCTCCGTAACCATCTGTCGTATGAGGCGACTAAAATGCCGGGCAATGGGCTGTAACCCCTTCTCCGTATACAATTACTAAAAAAGAGAAGAAAAAAAACTTATAAAACGGGGTTTGCAAAAATGTGCGGGATGAGGGGGGATGACAAAAACAGATGTTGCTGATGTTATGAATGAAAAGAAGTTGGAGTCCTGGCCAAAAAAGGAAAAAAAGGGAAAAAGGGGGGGTAGGAGATTTCAGTGGGGGGGAAAAAAATGGGATTAAAACTGGAGTATCTGAGAGGTTAGAGCAAGGAAGGGGGAGCAAATGTTAAATGTCAGTTTGGAAGGGGAAAAAAGGGAATATGAATGTGTAAATTTAAGAATTATGTGATTAAAGAAAAGGGTTTGGGTGCGAGAAAGGGGGCAAATAACGTGTATGCACCCGGAAAGAGAGGGAAAGCAGAGGAAAGAGAGAGATTTGGGGGGAGTTAGTGAATGTATAGGAGCCTTTGAACCAAAATGAGAAAAGTAATTGTGGTAGGGGACTTGAAAGCTAAAGTAGGAAACTTTTAGAGAGGGTTGGTAGGTAAGTTTTTGGGGTGCCAGGGGTAAATGAAAGGGGGCCCTTTGATTTAACTTTGTATGAAAAAGGGGGTTTTTTTAAGGTAATACAATTTTTAAAAAAAAGAGGATAAATAATATACACGATATGATTAGGGCGAATGACAGTATTTGTTGGATTAGTATTGGTAGAAAAAAGACTGTTGAGTAGACTTCAGGATGTACAGTTTATAGAGGGGGGGACAGATAACAGATCCTTTCTAGTTGTAGCTACACTGAGAGTAAAATAGAGGGGGAAAAAGAGAATAGAAGCATCAGGGAAGAGAGAGGTGGAAGGGTTTTTAAACTAAAAAGGAGGCAGTTAGGGTAAGATATAAACAGCTATTTGGGGGATAGATGGGCTAAAAGCAAAGGCAATGGGGGCGAAGAGGATGGGGAGGTTTAAAAATGTGTGTTTTGATGTTCACAGAAGTTTGTGGTTTCAGGAAAAATGGGGGCAGGGGGGAAGAGGAGCGAGGGGAAAGAAGAAGTAAAGAGAGTATAAGGGAGAAAAAAATTAGATATGAGAAAATTTTTTTTCAAAATAGAAGTGAGCAAGGGGGGAAGAGATATGGAGAAAAGAAGAAGTTAAGAGAGGGGAAACAAGTAAAAAGAAGCAAATGAAGAGGGGGTTTGGGGTTTTTCAACAAATTTTGTTGAAAAAAGAAAAAGTTTTGGAGTGAGATTTAAAAAGAAGAAAACCTAGGAACTTTTGGGTTTGTCATTAAAAAAAAGGAGAGGGGATTTTTTTAAATGGAGAGGTAGGGATTGGGGGAAAATGGAAGGAAAATTTTGGGAATTGTTTAAAAGTTGATGAAGATAGGGAAGCTGTGATTTCGTGTATAGGGCAAGGAGGAATAACATCTTGTAGGAGTGAGGAAGACCCAGTTGTGAGTGTGGGGGAAGTTCGTGAGGCAGTAGGAAAAATGAAAGGGGGTAGGCAGCCGGGATTGATGGGATAAAGATAGAAATGTTAAAAGCAGGTGGGGTATAGTTTTTGGAGTGGTTGGTGCAATTATTTAATAAATGTATGGAAGAGGGTAAGGTACCTAGGGATTGGCAGAGAGCATGCATAGTTCCTTTGTATAAAGGCAAAGGGGATAAAAAAAGTGCAAAAATTATAGGGGGATAAGTCTGTTGGTGTACCTGGTAAAGTGTATGGTAGAGTTTAATTGAAAGAATTAAGAGTAAGACGGAGAAAAAGGATAGCAGATGAAAAAAGGAGGCTTTAGGAAAGGTAGGGGGGGTGTGGACCAGGTGTTTACCAGTGAAACATTATAAGTGAAAAAAGTATTTAGATAAGGCTAAAGAGGTCTTTGTGGCATTTATGGATTTGGAAAAGGCGTATGACAGGGTGGATAGGGGGGCAATGTGGCAGATGTTGCAAGTGTATGGTGTAGGAGGTAGGTTACTGAAAGCAGTGAAGAGTTTTTACGAGGATAGTGAGGCTCAAGTTTTAAGTATGTAGGAAGAGGGGAAATTTTTTCCCCGTAAAAAGTAGGCCTTAGACAAGGAGTGTGATGTCACCGTGGTTGTTTAATATATTTATATTGGGGTTGTAAGAGAAGTAAATGCGAGGGTCTTGGCAAGAGGCGTGGAGTTAAAAGTAAAGAATCACACACAAAATGGGAGTTGTCACAGCTGCTCTTTGCCGATGACACTGTGCTCTTGGGAGATTCTGAAGAGAAGTTGCAGAGATTGGGGGTATGAATTTGGTAGGGTGTGCAAAAGAAAAAATTAAAAGGTGAATACAGGAAAGGGGTAAGGTTATGAGGATAACAAAAAGATTAGGTGATGAAAGATTGAATATCAGATTGGAGGGGAGGTATGGAGAGGTGAACGTATTCAGATATTTTGGGAGTGGACGTGTCGCGGAGGGGTCTATGAAAGATGAGGTGAATCATAGAATTGATGAGGGAAAAAGAGTGAGTGGTGCACTTAGGAGTCTGTGGAGACAAAGAATTTTTGTCCTTGGAGGCAAAGGGGAATGTTATGAGAGTATATTTTTTACCAACGCTCTTATATGGG